TAATATACAATGTTTGCTTTGACACATAAATTGATTTGGATCTCCAATAGCTTGTGCACATGTTGGTAATGGAGGAATTTCATAACATTGATTAAAACGAAAATCATCTAAAGCTATATCACCTGTAAGTGATGTACCACGTATACCTTCAACTATAATATTAAATTTTGATGCACATTTTGGTAAATAAGCTATTCCTAGTAGCCATCGATCACCTTGATTTCCTTGTAATGACCATATTAATGTATCAATACCACCAGCACGTACATAAATATTTAATATATTATTTGTGTCACCGAACATATGATACCTAGAAAAATAAATGATTCTTTTGAAAAAAAAACAAAAAACAACGTAATTTGAATTTTACCAGAATGTAAACGTGCAAGTTTTGGAAGACTTACGATAAAGTGGACTAACAAGACGAGCACGATCACCAAAGTTACCTATACTTGTTTTCAAATAGATATATGTCCCACTACTACTACTTGTTGTATGATCTGAATGAAGAAAACAAAAGAGAAAAGAATATATTATGAAGATTTATTTTAATCAAAAACAAAAAAAGATTTACCAGTGCTTGGACCAGTACTAATTGATGATGTCGTACCATTACCGAAATCCCAGATAAGTTTTTGTTTTAGATCATTTGTCCAAAAACATAATCTTTTCTGTTCAAAAGCACATGTTGGTGGACATGATAATTCATCTGTTTGATCTACACATTCAATATTAAAATTACAAAATTGATCCTTTGGTATACATTGACGAATATTTTGTAAACAATGTGAATGTGTCGAATTACAAAATGGACTTTGTGTTGTAGAATATACAAAAGGTGGTAATGTAGCTGTCATTTGTAATTGACAACCTGGTGTAAAACTTATATCATCAACACCAATGTCACCTATGAATAATAAAATTTAAAATATAAAGAACAAAAAAAGAAAATTTCTAATCAAAAAATACCTTCATAACTAGCACCACATACACCTTCGATAAGTACTTGAAATGGTTGTTGAACTTTAAGAACAGTTTTAGCACGAAACCATTTATCATCTTTTTCATAATTTTTACGCCAAATTAATGTCAATGGACCACCAATAAAAGTACGTGTATATACATTTAATGATGCAACATCATAACCATACATATGATACCAAAATCGAAATTGACATTCTCCTGATGTTGTTGGAGCAAATATTGGACTAATAATACGTGCTGTATCATTTAGCTTACGTGGTGCATTTGTTTCAAGCAATAGAAAATGTCCTTTTGATGTTCCTATATACATTGAAATGAAAGTTATAATTAAATTTTATTCATTTTATAAAGAATTAATTTTTACCTAATGTATGATCATAATCAGGACCATCGAGTTGCCAGAAATCATCATACCAATCAAAATTATTAACTTGTTCACCACGCATACGTTGCCATCTAAAGTCTGCATCATCATCATGTGACCATAAACATATTGGTTCTGCATTATTCTCAAAACTACACATTTGAACATATTTTTCACAACTATTTTCATCAGTATTATCACCACAATCATCACTATAATCACATAACTGAAAAAAATAAAAAGAAATTTGTTTTTTCTAAATTGATATGAAACTAGAAAGTTTGATATTACATTATCTTGATGAATACAATTTCCATTTGAACAATTAAATGGATCAGTAAAACCTTCACAGTGACCAATTGTTTGTGTATAACATTCAAGAAATTTAAAATCATCAATAGATATATCAGATGATGTTGTTGAACCAACATGTGTTGAAATAAATACAAGTCGAAAACCAGAACGTCTTCGTCCAATACTAACAGTTATCGATGTCCATATTCGACCAATTGTTGTTCGTGGATCAGTCCAAAGTTTTGTTGTTAATTCCAAATCATCTTCAAGATAAAGAGCTAATGTACCATTTTTATCAACATTACGATACAAGCCAAATGTAACACGACATGATGCTGCAGTTGATGCAATACGTTCAGAAACTAATCGACTACTACCAGCAAATGATCCTGAACCTTCAGTAACTGTCATAACAAAACCTTTTGCTGTATCTAAAAAATATATATTAAAATGAAACATAAATGATATTTGAAATTAATCAAATATACTTGTTGTCATATCACCAGGCATGAGTAAAATTGATGATGCATTACGTCTTGCCCAAATATAATATCCGACACTGTCATCTTGCCAACCACAAGTTGATATTTCAAAATCACATCCACCACAATCAATTTCATCTTCACCTTGTAAGCAATCCAGTGCAAAATTACAACGCTATATAAATATCCAAAAATTACATTTGATTTATTTTTATTTTCATAAATTTACCTTTTCTTTTCCAATACAAGTGCCATCATTACATCTATATGTACATGGTACAGGTGTTGTTGTTGTTC